AAAAATTTATTGAAAAGGTAAGGCCACAAATAAAAAGTCCTATTAGACCGTCCCCCTTTGTCTGTACGGAACAAAAACGTAGCATTTAATGGATAGAAAGACCTGACACTTACTATAAGAAATACTTTTTAGCAGGATTATATTTTTGGTTTTAGATACAAAGCGTTGGCGTTTCTTAAATATCACAAGGAATCACTGAAAAAGCCAGTTTTCATGAGGGCACTGGTAGTAAGGTATCAAAAGGGAGTTAGGGAATGACTAAACCATTGTTCAATTTAAGACGCATGGTTTAGTTAAGATTGTACAAGCCTTCGTTGCAAGAACACTTATTTCCGTAAGAGAAGGAACATTCGTAGGTATTTTTCCCACCACGTCTGATTTACGCATCCTAATTTTGAATCACAGGCGCGAACTACCCTCAGATCTAGAAGTGTAACCTCTGAAGACAGGAAGCTAGACTAGTCACTTATTTTCTTTCAGACTTCAACCCGAGGTAGGAAGCTGGGGTTGGCGCCAGTTGACTCCTTTATTTTCTCATAAATTAATGAACAAACATGGATGGAGACCTTCGTAACAATTTTTATTCTTGATCCGGAAGCTGACATGAATATGTGAACTGAAATCCACTAAATTGCGGGGAATAAAGTATAATATTTGCAAGCTACCAACAGACAATCAGTAGTCTAAAGAGATTGAATTATTCGCCATACTGATACCGAGGTCCACCGCGCGCCCCAAAGCAGTTTGGGCACATGTAGAGTAGTTTATATTAATGGTATATTTGCGTATCATCTACCCCACTCTCTTCTCTCTCGTTCACATGGGCCCGGTGTGAAGACAGAGTCAATAAGACCGAAGAGAGAGAGAGATACGTTTTAATAAAAAAAAATCGTTGCAACATTTTTAGCAAAACGTCCTCCATTCGCAAGAAATAAAAGTAGGTGCACAAACGCACAACACCGGGAGATCAAAAGCAATCCGTAGTCGTCAATACCTGCAATTGTCGACATCGAGGATAAATGTCCTTGGAAAATTCACCAAACATAGACCAAATTGGACTGCTTTCAAAGCGGCGCCAGCGTCACGACCTCATTGCAGTTCAAATAAAAACAAGATGAGTACAACTTGGTTTATAATGAGCGAAGTAGGCCGTTCGACGTAGACATAAGATAGTTTAGATGCGAATGGAGGAGGGAAAACGGCGGCTCAATTTGAAAGCCCGCAGTCGGGCGCAGGAGGCTGGCACAACGTGGCACCACCAAACACCCCCATGCGCAGCAGTGTTTGGGGTGCGCATCCCCAGTAACGACTGTCGGGCCCTTATCCGGCTCTCGTGTTGAATCATTGCCTTTACCGCGTGTGTCCATTATGGGGTCACAAGTGCAAATTAAAAGCCCAGGCATGGGCTTCGTCGGTTTTGTGTTATGATATCAAGCAGATGCGAGGGGTTCAGCTCAGCACTGAGCCCTCACTGATGTTCCCCAGGTGCTTACTGCGATTTCCTCCAGTTTCAGTGACAATTTCCTCAGAATTTCATGTACAAACTGGGGTTGTCAGTATTTTTGACTGAGCATTCAGTATTTGTATACTGCTGACTGATCGTTTGTGGCTTGTGACCATACGGCAGTTAGTTCACAGAAGCTAATGTGTTGCAGCCCAGATATTAATGGCAACCTTATGACCGAGCCCAAGAAAGGCTCATTCCGAAGGATATACTCCTAGTTCGCGAGTCAAATTCTGAAAAAAATAAGAAAGGTTAATACTAGAACTGAGGTACATCCCAGAGGGAACGCTAGGGGCCCATAATAAGCAGAACCCCTCACATCTGCTTCATGCAGCGGCGTGAAATCAGCGAAACACCTACCCGGGGTTTCAGTTAGTACCTCTGCTGTCAGTATGTCATTCAATATTTGAGTATATGCCAGTTAGTCATAAATTATAATATTATAAAATATTTTCCCTTAACATTTTTGTTTTACTTGTTCTTGAGTTTCGTGGCGACAGTTTACTATGAATGATAGCTACTGTGTACGCAGAGATTTCCGGTTGCTACCTAATAGTGGTATACATTTAATTGTAGCCGATATTCATTGCAGAAATCGCCCCGTTAGCCTGAAAGCAATTGTGTTTTCCTCTAGTTGCCCACATAATTCGCTTCGTTGGTAAACCTTCCTACAATGTAGATTTAAGCGCGTCCTTTTAGTCTAAAAGGTTTTATCCAGAAATCATATAAACAACTGTGCCAAGTTTATTGCTCCACAGGGATACGCACTCGTCTGACACAGCAGTCACTGTTGAAATATATGTTCTCATTTGGCAATAAAATGACTGACATGTACCTGGCGTCCACCGATTGAGCCTGGTTACAAGATTGAGAATACACAATTCCATCTTGCCTTAGAGCTCCGGCTTTGAGTCCTCAAAGGCGGTATCATATAGATAAAAATTCAGTAACCGAGAAAGTAGTGGGCAAGGTATATGCGACTAAAATCACATTTTTTGTCTAGTTCTCATCCTCTTCCACTCATACCGTTAAGAAAGGTTTGGAGAGGTACACTGCTCACCGACGAAATATTTCCGGTTGGATCACAAATTCCGAGTGTGGAGTTTGAGTATGGCTGGCGCATAATTTCAAAGTGTCCGCCCAGTTGTCATGCTTTATCGACAACTCTTTCAAACTAACCCGTTTGGAAATTTAGGCATTGAGGCTGACTCAGGATGGTAAATATTCTAACTCCGGTATAACTGCACGCGTAGAAGTTTCCGAAAGAACCGCTTGTCCGGCTAAGGAAGGAAGGCGCTGCTCAAAAGTACTGGCTGTAGAAATGTTTAAGTATAATATAGGAGGTAATTTATTGATTTTGTAATTCAATTAGTTTGAAGGCATTTCACTCCTTTGAGTCATTTCTAAATCGTTTACAGTTTATCATTACCAATCCTCGGAACATTGCTAAATATTTTCCGAATTTATAAGATCCATTTGAGCTGATTCCCTGGAAGGTATGAGAAAGAGGATTCCTTCTATTCTGAAACTTGGCGTTAATTTCCAGGATGATTAGTGCTAGTACAAAAGTTAAGGCTAACGCTAGAGTTAAGGTTAGTGTGTTGAGATTAGGGCTGGAATTAATGCAAGGGCAAGGACAGGGGAATATGTGCGCAATGTCACCTGTAGAAGCGAATATGCGTGCCCCAGGTTCTTGTTGTAAAGAAGAGGACGACGCGATCACTGGAACGATAGTTTTATTCTGAGCTTTCGGCTCCACACGAGAAGCCATCGT